GGGACTTTTAATGTGCTATAGCTCAGGGTTGAGGAAACATGAGTCAAAACAGCCCAACTCAGAGTTTGTTGAATTCTGAGAACCCATCCTCCCTGGACTACTGTAAGCTGGCAGTGCTGAGGCCTAGTGTAAGTAATGAGAGTGAGCCAGCCCCTCAGGAAGAGTGAAAGCGCCCTGGACCTGCACAGTGTGGACGAGAGCAGCCGAGTGCAGCGAGAAGCGCTGTGCCAGGTAATGCCTTCTTGGGAGACTGTGCGGTGGGCACCTTCACAGTCCTCATTGTACAGGGGCAAACCCAAGCTCAAGAGACTCGAAGCAACTTGTCAAGCAATATGACAGTTTATAGATGGTAGATTAGTCTTATGTGCGATATATAAACACACACACAGGGATTTCCTGACGTGTACTGACACATGATTCACTTACAGTAAAGGTTTGAATGAATGGTGCTTGAGTGAATGGTTCCAAGTGGTGTTTGGATGGGTTAGGTGGTGCAGCATTCTGGAGGAAGTCCGTCACTACGGGCGGGCTTTGCGATTGTGTAGATTGTACCACTCTCTCTCTGCATCATGCTTGGCACTGTGACGTGAGCTTACAGCTTGCTGGTCAGGCCGCCATGACTGTCTGCTATAGTGGACTCTCAAACCTCAGGAACTGCAAGCCAAATAGGTGCTTTCGTTTCAGTTGCTGTGGTCATGGTATTTTTCACAGCCACAGAGAGGTAACTTACACACCACCCACTGAAAGGGTCCTAGCCGGTGATTCTGGTGTATTCACCATGCCAACTCCAGGCATTTCCATCACCCTAAAAAGAACCCTGCCCCATCCCTCCCTTTGCCATCATCTGAAGACTCCCACTTGCCAAATGCCACATGTCACCTGTGCCACTATCGCTTCCATCAAACAGTGGCCTGTTCTGTTTGCCTCAACTCAGCTATTCCTGGCAAAATCTGAAGCTTGGGTTTTGTTTTTAACCTGTTAACACTTGGAATTGTAAAAAGAGGATTTACATCATTTTTAAGAATAATAAATAATAAAGGAAACCATACATTCCTTTTTTAATGATTTGTTTTCATTTTATGTGCATGGATTGGTGTTTTGTCTGTGGGAAGGAGTTGGATTCCTAAACTGGAGTTACAGACAGTTGTGAGCTGCCATGGGGGTGCTGAGAATTGAACCTTGGTCCTTTGGAAGAGCAACCAGTGCTCTTGACTGCTGAGCCACCTCTCCAGCCCCATAAAAGCATATATTTTTTAGCATCTACTTTCCCTTCACCCCAGTTCCTTTGGTCCCAGGCAGCTAACGTATGTTCTGGCTAGTCTGGAAACTCCACATAAACAGACTCACGTAGCATGGCCTTTCATGTCTTACATGATGTTTTCAAGATTAATATGTGTTATGGCATGCATCAGTTCTCTGTTTTTATGACTAAATGGTATTCTTTTGTATGGGTACACTGTTCATTTATATCATATTATAAATGTATCTTGTTCATTTATAATGTGGTTACTGTTTCACTTTTTGAGGAATTTCTGATTTTCAGAGTAGTTGCACTTTTTTGTTTTGGTTTGGTTTTTTGAGACAAGGCTTGTCTGTGTAATCCTCCATGTCCTGGAACTCACTCTGTAGCCCAGGCTGGCCTCGAACTCACAGAGGTACAACTGCCTCTGCTCTCTAGTGCTGGAACCAATTTTGGAGTGGGTCCCTTAGGATTTTCTATGTACATGGTCCTGTGATGTGTGAGTGGAGGTGCCTTTATTTCTTCTTGTTTTTTTACGTTGTATTTATGTATACTTCTGTGTTTTCCTGTCTGAGCATCTACCACGTGAGAGCAGATGCTCAGAAAGACCAGCTCCCCTGGAACTAGAGGTATAGGTGGCTGTGGGCCGCCCTGTGTCTGCTGGGAACCACTTGAGGCCTCTGCAGCAGCTGCTGCTTTCACTGCAGAGCCATCTCCAGCTCAGCTCACAGTATGTGGCTCCAGGGGTAGCACTCAGGAGTCAGGCTTGTGTGGGAAGTGCTTCGCTCTTGATTTGAACAGCTCTTGATTTTAATAACCCAGGTCTTTTATTTTTGGCAGTGCACCCAGGCATCTGCGGGTGCAGTGGACACTGTCAGGGGCCTCTTCTGCCTTGTTGGTTTGAGAGGGCCTTATCTCCCCTCTCCTCTTTAGTCTCCCATAGTTCTCTAATCACATCCAGGCTGTGATGAAGTAGGAGATTTCTTCATGCCTTTCTCATTTCAAGTGAGAAAGGGAGCATGGTAAACTCTGAAGAATTCTCATCAGCTGTGCAAAATGTGATGCCAAGTGTCTCTTTCTGCGGTTTAGAACAGAAGAACGCTAACAACGTAGTGAACTGGGGTTTTGTTTCTACATCCCGTCTAAGAATTTATTGCAGAGGAGGCTGAGTGTTGGCTGCAGCCTCAGTGGCTGCTTCCTTGTTTCTGGGTGTGGACTGAGTATTTTCCTTCCGACGGTGAACACAGCGGATGCTGTGAAGACACTCCTGTGTGGCTGGCCCAGTGCTGAACCTGTGCTTCTCACTTAGACTGAACTTGAGTAGTTTACACAATGGAGGAAGGGAGGGTAGTGAGTCTGCCAATTACTTCTTTACTGTTACGCTTCCACTGGGTCCTAGTTCACAAGTTCGTAGCCTTGCTACTTTCAGGAATACGATTATTTAATGCCAGTTAGAGGGCAGGGTGGCGGTAGTTAAGAAATATAATAGTTAGACACTATTTTTTTATAGTTTCAATCTCTTCGGTGCAGTACACTAGCCATGCCCTTGGTGAAGTCTGGGGAGCCTGGGAGTGGCGTGGACCATCCATGGAGACATGCTGATATAGTAGTCTCCCCTATTCAAGGCTTTCCTTTCTGTCAGCTTGTCATAACCTAGAATCATCTGGACATCTAGGACTGTCTACATTGGGTTGGCCATTGGGTGAGTCTGTGAGGGATTGTCCTAATTGGCTTAGTTGGTATAGGGAGACTCAGCCCAGATGGGTGGCACCCATCCCTGTGAAGGGGCTCTGAAGTGTTAGGAGCGGAGAAGCCAAGCTGAGGGCTGGCAGCTGAGCACTCTTTCCTCCCAACTGCAGCTCTTATGTGAGCAGCCGTCTCAAGCTCCTGGAATTGTGGCTTTACCCAAAGCAAGGGAGAGCGACCTGGAACTGTGAGCCAATAAACTCCTCCTGCTGAACTGTTCTCTTGTCTCATCACGGCAACAGAAATGAAACTAGAGCAACACCCATGACCAGCCTGCAGCTGAGGGAAATTCCAGAGAGAAGTCGTTCCTTTGAGTAGGGCAATAAAGTCCCTCCTGACTGCTCTGTCCTGTGGTAACATGGTTCATGCTTGTCCAGCAAGCCCATACTGTGTGCTGCTGTCCATTGTCTCTAAGCAGCCTCCGTGTGTGTCAGACTCGTGTGTGTGTGTGCATTTTAGTGTTTGTGCTCAAATGCCCCTGATTTTACTTAATGTCCCCAAAGTACAAGAAGATATTGGCAACTGGGATGTGCCAAAGGAATTTCTAAAGTTAGTCCTTTCAGTGCAAAGATGTAAAGACTTAGTTAATTCTTTAGGCTGGCCTGGGAATTGCCATGTAGACCAGGATGGCCTTGAACTCAGAGATTCACGTGTCCCTGCCTCAATTCTTGATCTTCTTGTATGAGTGTATGTATAGGAAAAGCATAGTTCATTATGGGGTTCAGAACTGTACTTAGCTTCAGGCTCTCACAAGGACCTCTAGGACCTGTGCCCTAGGGAAAAATTGGGTACCCTATTTTAGCAGCTAGGAGAGTGCCTGGAATTGGCTCAGGGACCTCCCGTTCAGCAAGCCGCTGCTTCCCACTTCTTTTCCTCGATAACAGTTCTTATCTTCATTGCGCAATAGCTGTGATATAATTTTAGCAGAATGGGAGGTTGCATAACTATCAGATCATGGCCGTTAACGCTCAGTCACTTCCCTTCCTCAGTGGCCTGTGAAGCATTTGTTTTCTGCCGTTTATGCCTAAACAACTGGCATCTCAAGGCAAAGCACCTTCCCTAAGGAACTTGAGGCTGTTAGAAAGATGCATGTTCACAGTGTCCTTGGAAGAACTTGCAGAGCTCTGCAGTGCAGGCAGCGCCGGGACCCCGATGCTCATGCCAGACTGTGCCACTTGCCTCTGGAGATCCAGGGGAGGGCACTGATAGCAACAGAGGAAAGAAGACTGCAGCCCAGCGTGTATGGTGCGGAACGATGCGTGTCTCTACGCGCTTGTCCATTTCTCTACACTCGTGTCCACCGCCGCGCCTGTCAGGTCTCAGTGAGAGCCGTAGCTGCTGCCGTGTGCTCCTTCTGGGCATTTGGAATTCAGCACACAACCCCGAGGGAAGGGTTTTGTAGCAAGTCCAGCTAGAGAATGCAGGCGTAAGCTCGCCCTAATGATCTTCTGTGCCCTCAGTGCGGATCACAGGCCTGTCCTTCCTGTTCTGCACGTGAGTGCTGAGCTGAGCCTGAGAAGTCCCCAGCATCTGTGGCACAGGCCCTTGCAGCAGGGAGGCTGCTGGCCTTTCTAGGCTTCATTTGAATGGTGTTGGGGCTTACAGTTTGCATTGGAGGCCTTGAAGCCTGGAGTCTCATTCATTTATTAGGACAGTAACTTGATAGGAAAAGGAACTCCTTGTTTAAAAACTTAACTAAAACAGAAAGGGAACTTGAACACTGTGGTATACCTCTGATCCCAGTGGCAGGAGGAGACAGGAGGATCAGGAGGCACTCAAGGCCAGTCTTGGCTTTGCAAGAACCTGTCTCAAACAAAAACAAACCCAGCCAACTCAGGGACCATGTTCTCAGTTTCTCCCATGTTTGAGAGGTACTCGTGAACACACACGTGTTGAGGTATCTGTTGCTATCACGTGCTCACCATATGTTCTATTTCTCTGCATTTCATAAATGCGGAAAGTGCGTGTTCGTGCTCCTTGTATCCAGTTAATGACGCCAGTGTTTGCTTCACAGAATGCAGAGGCCCTGGACCCACGGGGTCGGACGTTACTGCACCTTGCGGTTTCTTTGGGGCATTTGGAATCTGCTCGAGTCTTGCTGCGACATAAAGCAGATGTGACCAAAGAAAACGGCCAGGGATGGACAGGCAAGTATACCTATCACCTACACATTCATTTCCATGCCTCTGGCTGAAAAAGATGAGTCTCAATGGTAATTTTCCCGTCAGTCAGCAGTGTCTCTCAGGACAAGGGGCAGGGATGACAAGATGAAGCCAGGATGCTGGTCTCACAGTCCTGAACCCTCTGTAGAGGGTGACTCCTCTTCCAGAAATGGTCCTTCCCAAATCTGTGAGCAAGCCAGGTTTACCCTGGGTGGGAACTCCATTGAGGCCAGCGAAGTCATGAAGTCAAAGATCTGAGCACCAGAAGTATCGTCTTCTGGTGAAATCTTGGGGTTCACTGTTTGGACACCCTCTTACTGTTAATGGTAGCAGTTTTGTGCGGACCAACCAAGGACACTTACTTGTATGTGCAAGTCCCACCTGCCAGGTCGCCTGTTGTCACATGGGTGTGAGTGCACCAGGAGGTGTGGCCATAAAGTGGTGAGTCAGCAATCAGAGGTCATGGCCAAACCGCATAAATGTGACTCTCTGGCTCTCTGAGGCACATACTGTTTCCTTGAGCTACCCAAATGGCTTTCAGTGCTAGGTCTGGAATTTGTCAGGGAGCATGAGGGTGCTCGGTGACTCGGATTTGCCCTTTTGTTTTCTAGTTTTACATGAAGCTGTGAGCACAGGCGATCCCGAGATGGTGCACACGGTCCTGCAACACCGAGACTACCACAACACATCCATGGCCCTCGGAGGTGTGCCTGAGCTGCTGCACAGAATTCTTGAGGTAGCCGTACGACTGGCCGCGCCACACTCTGAGCCAATCCTGCAGTGATGTGGAGACCACTGACACCTGTGTGTCTTCAGAATAGTGGAGAGGGCACTTTGTTGCCAAAGAGCGCGTGCCTTGCCTGTCTTGTCTTGTTGAAGCACAGGGCCTCTTATAAGTTAAGCTTCTGGGCCACGACGCCTAACTGCCTCAGTGCCACCTTGAAATTCAAGCTTAAGGACAGTGGCTGTCAAATACAGTTTCCCTAGCACCCTGTGCTCTCATAGAGCCCTGTGCTGAGGTGATCTCACGGAAAAAGTGATGGGCACGACTGCTGTGCGGGTATTTCCAGGGGCCACAGGGCCCAGGGCTCTGTACTCTGCCTGTCGCCTCACCACTCTTGTCGCTTGTAGCCACCAGTATTCTGTGGCTTCTAATCCACTTCCTTAATTCATTGGCAGTGTGACTGGTCTTTCTTTAAAAGCAGTGACCCCTAGGCTCCTGGGTCGTTTGGGATGACGGCTCTTTGCCACTTGAAGGGACTGCCTCAGAGCATGTGCAGTATGCACAGTGGCAGTGGAGGCTCCGTTCCAGTGCTCTGGAGTCCCAGCCTAGGCACAGAAGTCCCAGAACAGCTTCTTTGCAATTAGCTAGTTAAGTCAGTATGGAGAGAAGGATGAACTTGGCCTAAGTAATCAGTGTCCAGCCACTGTCTGAGCACTCTTTAGAACAGTTTGGTGGTTTCTTTTTTTCTTTTCTTTTTTTTTTTTTTTTAAGATTTATTTGTTTGTTTGTTTATTACGTATGCAGTGTTCTGTCTGCATGTAAACCTGCATGCCAGAAGAGGACACCAGATATCATTATAGATGGTTGTGAGCCACGTTGTGGTTGTGGGCATTGAACTCAGAACCTTTGGAAGAGCAGCCAGTGTTCTTAACCCTTGAGCCATCTCTCCAGCCACTTTAGAACACTTTGTGTGAAATTTAAGGGAAATCTTGTAAAGATACTCACTTCCTCTGTAACCACGGTGAAACATCCCATCCAGTATGAAGTAGTTACATGGTTGTTTTAAAAAACAGCTGTGTGTTTACAGGTGTGCGGAGGTCATGTGGCCCTGCTGTTTTCCCACCTGAGTTACTATGAGCGGAACCACACCAGTTGTGCCCCTCCCCCACTGGCAGCATCCCGTCTAGCTCAGGCTGCCCAGCCAATGATGCCCTTGAGCTTCTGATGCTCTCGCCTCCACCTCCCAGGGCTGGGATGGCGGGCGTGCCACCATGGCTGGTTCATGCGGCACTGGGGTGGAATCCAGGCTTCTGGCATGCTAGGCAACTACTGCATCCACTGAGCTACATCACCAGCCTTCGGTTGTCTATTTGACAAGGAAGAGTTCAGATGCAATATAAAGGGTTTTTTTAAAACCTATATTGATCCCTAGAAGTGGATCACATTGATTTGTAGCTGATGCTTCAAGTGATAGACATATATACATATATATATATCGATTTTTTAATGTGTGTGTGTGTGTGTGTTGAAGCCATTGCTGATGTTGTACGTTTCAACAGTGTCTCTTTAGAACATGTTAGCATTCCTTCCTTACCAGCTATCCCTTGGAGCTTGTCTTTGCTTAATATGAAAATCGTGGTTGGTTTTACTCAGGGTAGATTTCCTTGCCTTCTTCAAAGCAGGGACAAAAACCAATGTGAAGCTTTAGAGGTAGTGAGAGAATAAGAAAACAGCTCTATGTATAACCTCTCTGTCTCTCTGTCCCACTGTCTCTCTCTCTCTCTCAAGACAGGGTCTAACTATATAGTCGTGGCTGCCCTAGAACTTAACTCTGTAGACAGGCTGGCCTTGAACCCACAGAGGTCCCTTTGTCTACCCTGTGCTGGAATTAAAGGCTTGCAGCACAATGCCTGACATGTCTCTTTTTGGATGGTCGGGTGGCTTTCTTAAAGTAGCTCTTGAAGAGCCTTCTGTAAGAAATTAATGAGCTGGAGAGATGGCTCAGAGGTTAAGAACACTGGCTGCTCTTCCAAAGGTCCTGAGTTCAATTCCCAGCACCCTTGAGGTGGCTCACAACCATCTGTATCCTCTACTGCCCTCTTCTGGCATGTAGGTGCACATGCTGATAGAGTGCTCATATACACAAAATAAATAAATAAAAGTTTAAAAAAGAAAAAAATTAATGAGAGGAAAAAAGAAAAAAAAGTCCTAAACAAGGATTTTGTGGTAGTATGAAATTTCAGAAAGCCAAATTGTAACAGTTAAGAGAAACCTGGGACACTGGTTAAGCACAGGGGAAGTCCACTTCTGGGGAAGTGATGTCTAGCCTCCATTTTCATTTTCCTATAGCTGGCCAATAAACACAAAGCACTTCCCACACACCCAGCCTTTCACAGTCCAGTTCCCCACAGAAGAGAGGGAGCCAGCTTCCTTCTCTGCACCTTGGACAGGCTATTGCTCACATGGAATGGTAGCTTAACTCTCTTAATGCTAGCTAGGAGCCCAGCCACCCCAGGAAGGTTCCATTTCCAACCCTGTCACTTTTCTCTTAACTTTTTTCTTTTCTTTTTTTAAGTGACATTTATTTGTTTGGAGTGTGGTGGTGCGTGTATACCACAGCATATATGAGGCCATCAGAGGATATCTTATGGGAGCTGGTTCTCTCCTTCCTCCACGTGTGGTCCAGTGAGCGAACCTGGGTCATCAGGCCTGGCTGCTGGCCCTTTGCTCATGGAGCCATCCAGCTGCCTGCCCTGCTCACTTTCTTAGCCGTCTAGAAATATTTTCATCAGGATAAAGTAATAAATTAAATATAAAATATTTGTTTTAGTGTGTTCAGACTATGTGTCTGCATTCTCTCTCTCCTCCCTAATTGTTTAAGGAGCCACACTAACCCTGCTCTGCTTGTTTACTTGAGAGTGCCATGGTCACCTATAAACCTTTGTCTGCCCTTCAGGCCCCGGATTTCTATGTGCAGATGAAGTGGGAGTTCACCAGCTGGGGTGAGTGGCTGCAGGCTTACAGTTTATCTGCTCCCAAATTTACATCGCGTCTTTATAGGTTTGTTTTCCTTTGTAAAAGCTGTGTGTGTTGGGGGTGAGGGGTGTATGTGCTTTTTAAATCCAAATGTGGTTAATGATCTGCATCCCATTCAGTCTCTTCTAGTCTTTCTTCCCCCCCCCCCCCCCACCCTTTGGCATTAGACTTTGGCCCTGGACGTGTATAAATACAGCATACAGATACTTTTGTCTCTCTTCGCACTGTGTATCCCTAATACCCACCTTATTAGTTGGCTTCCTTTTTATTATTTGTAGGGGTGAGTGGGGTTGGGTTGGTATAGCCCTGCCTGGCTCTCTACTCTGTGTAGCTCGCAGCGGCCACAGATCCTCCCCTGCCCGCCTGCCCCTCGCCTCCTGCTGGGACTGTAGGCGTGTGCCAGTGCTTGCAGCTTCTTTAAGATGTGACTCTCACTGTGGCCTCTGGTCCCCTGGGCTGGAGTGACTTCTTGCCTCAGCTCTGTGAGCAGCTGAGCCTGTGCCACTCTGTCTGTCTGTCTGACAGCTTATTAGTTTTAAAAGTCTGTTTATAATGCAAACATTTTAATGGCTTACCACAGTTTGCTACTTTTCTTATGTTGCTTATCTTGATTCTTTCAAATTTGTTGTTCTGGGGGGAAATGAGACAAATAGTGGAATTGTTTTCCTTTGTTTTTGTTTTTGTTTTTTTAAATTTAATTTCCTACAAAATGCATGTATTTCCCGAGAATATTCTGTAAGGCGGTTGATTTTCATAGATATCTGCTTTTCCCTCTTGTAGGTCAGTGAACTACCACTTGATTTTTATAGCTTTTTCATTTCACTGATTCCAGGTTTGCTAGGAAGCAGGCTTTAGATCCTTGGTGTTTTGAGTGGGGCCTGTGATGTGGGAGCTGTGGCCACATGGCTGCAGCAGACATGTGGGTGAGAAGGCCAGATGGACACACTCCCCAGCACTGGATGGTCAGTGCAGACCCAAGAGGGCTGATGGGAAATTTGTTCACTGTTTTCTCTGATGTGTTGCAATCAAAGGCTCATTTCTCTTCATTTTAATTATTTTTTTTTAATGGTGGCAGTTGAGCCCCAGGGCCTGGTATATGCTAAGCACGTCCTATACCACTGAACTGCTCCGCTAGCCTTCCTATTTATTGTTTTTCTGTCTGTCTGGGGTACCAGGATTGAACCAAGTGCATGCAAGTGAACTACCACTGGGATATAACTCCAGCCACTTAAGACATTTGTTTAGTTTAAAATGGCCTTACTCTAGCCTGGCTAGCCTCAGACTTGCTGTTTGGCCCAGGCTGGCCTCAAAATGGAACTCCTCCCTCAGCCCCCTGAGTGCTAGGCATGTGCCACCTTGCCCAGCTTTCGTTTCTGTTTTTCAGGATGAGTTCCTTTGTAAGCATGGCGGGAGAAGTCCAGTTGAGTTTGACCAGTCATGTTTTATCACTCTGCCCCATTTACTAAAGCGAGAACCCTGAGTTCATGGCCCATGTATTCTGCTGAGCCCTGTGGCTTTCTCAGTAATACCCTTCCCTCCTCCAGTGCCCTTGGTCTCTAGAATATGCCCAAATGATGTCTGTCGTATTTGGAAGAGTGGTGCCAAGCTGCGAGTAGACATCACCCTGCTGGGGTTCGAGAACATGAGCTGGATAAGAGGGAGACGCAGTTTCATATTTAAGGGAGGAGGTAAGCGAGCCCATTGTGTGATCCCTGCTCAAGCTGGACGCCGGGGTCACTCTGTTGTTCCTGAGACAGGATGTCAGTGTGTTGCCCTGGCTGGCCTGGAATTCGCCGTGTAGAGCAGGCTGTCCCTGACGCGGGGCTAAAGGCGAGCACCACCATGAACAGCTGCTTGGGACATCTTAATCATCATGACGCAGCTGTATTTTATGCTTCGTCTGTCTGATAGTTGGTCTTCCTGGTTGTCGGCATTCGTTATTAGGCCCTTCTCTCTTATTTTGGAAATTGGCAAGTCCCCTTGCTCATTTCATTCACTGTTAGCACCAGTGGTCTGTCACCTGTGAGCTGGCACACTTTCTGGAGCCTCTGTCTTGTGTCATTTTGTATTCCCATCATAGCTGAGCATGATCTGCTGTGAAGGGTTTTATGTAGCACTGCTCATCAATGTGAGCACATCATTTACATTAATGTGTAGCGATGTTTTGTAAAGGTCATAGGTGAAATGGGATTTTAGTTTTAAAATTCCCATCTTGGGGAGGATGCTCTGGGGTCTCTGATGTGCTGTAGAGGGCTAGCCAGACAAGCTCTATGCAAGTGCAGTCAGTGACCAGGAACCTTGGAGCAGAGGTGCTCAGTGTAGAACACTAGCTCCCCAGGCTGGATTCAACGCCCAGCGCCTGAGAGAGAGAGAAATGCAGACCCCTGTTCTGTAGGTTTGCCAGCCAAGTATCTGAGAGGAAGCATGAGAAAGGTGGCCTTGCTGGCTGTGGCCTGCATGCACTGCTTCCTCACACCAGGGCTCTTGTTAACAGACAACTGGGCGGAGCTGATGGAAGTCAACCACGATGACCGAGTGGTCACCACCGAACACTTCGATCTTTCCCAAGAAATGGAGCGCCTCACACTGGACCTGATGAAGCCAAAGAGCAGGGAGGTTGAGAGGCGGCTCACCAGCCCCGTTATCAACACCAGCCTTGATACTAAAAACATTGCCTTTGAAAGGTATGGACTTAGACTCCCGTTTACCCTCCAGTCTGGGGACTGCCCTCATTAATAGCATGTTTGCAGTAATTGGAGATTATGGCTGGATTGGGACTTCTTTTCTAGTCTGGCATAATGTTAGTGAGTTTTAAGGGTGGTCTCTGATGTTAATCAGTAGGAGTCATAATGGGTGCCCGCGCACATCACTGTAGCACGGTGTCTAAGTCTGCCCTTTGTGTGTTTCTATGGGCCCTTTCTTCCGGGTTCCCTGGATCTTGTTTTGGTAGTTTTGGATGCACACTCCTTCATCCCTAAATGTGGACCTTGGAGTTTTTTAAAGCTAGAATTGACCAGAATTGTATAGACAGTAAATGGTCAAATTTATACCTCCCATAATGTATTGTAACCCCACTCCCCACCTGGGAGGCCCAGTAGTAGAAAAGAAGTCTGAAGGCTGTTCAGGTCTTTCCAGTCCCATGAGGATCTCTCCAGAGGTTAATCCCGATGAGACCTCATCCATAGCCATTCTGTGGGGCATGCAGGCTGGGGTAGAGGTGCTTTGAGCTCCCTCCAATAGAAGCTCACATCTCTGTGCTGCAGAGCACAATGAACTGAGGGAGTCTGCAGTATCTCCAGTGCTTGTCTAGGATGCCACATCCGGCCGCCTGTGACTTAATATAACCCGGGCTAATCCAGACACTGCCCCTGGATCTAGGCATTCTTTTCTCTCCATCAGTATGCTAACTGATCTCCTTAAAGTTGTTTTCCTCTGTTCCACCGGTATAAGATTAGTGAAAACTAGAGACGTCTCTTTACTCAAATCTAAAACAGAACTGCCCTTCTTTATGTTTAAATAAAGCCAGGAAAGCAGGTGTCTGTAACAGAGGCTGCAGCCACTGTCAAATCCAGGGGCCGTGGCGGCTTTGGAAGTAGAAAGTGGATTCTTGAAGAAGGAAGTCCTCTTGCCAGCCTCCTGGCTGGAGACATTGAGATTTAGGGGCCCTACTGCAGGATCATTTGTAGGCTCTTGGCTACAGTCTCCAGGTTTCTATACATGTCTACAGGCAGGGAGGCCCCTTCAGAGGAAGCCATTGTCACTACCACAGCCCATTGCAGAGATGAGGGCAGGATGAGTAAGTAGCAGTGGCTGAGGGCAAGCGGCCTGACTCTCCAGTTCTTGTTTGTTTCCTTAGCTAGAAGGGCTTCAGAATGGCGCTTGTGAGACCTTTGACCCTGAGGTTGGGATTCCGGGTAGCTCATTGGGAGTTCGTAGGTCCATTATTTGCGGTGGAGTGGAGCTTGTCCCGGGTGTGTGGCTGTTACTGGCTTTGGTCCACTGAGTGCAGATGGGAAACAAGAGCGTGTTCCATTGTGCTGAGGACGAAGGTACACTGTGTATTGGTTTTGGTCACAGGGTTTTCAGGCAGCTCAAGCTGGCTTTCCTGAAGCTGACAGCGGGCTGAAATGAGAGTGCTGGAACACAGCTGTCCTGTTCTGTTTTAATGATGTTCATATGTGATCAGTGAACTTAGAAATAAGTAGGGGTTTGAGCCCCTCCCGGGTGTGAGGTTTGCCGATCAAAGGTGTGTGAAGGACCATCCAGTTGTGGTTGCCTCCTTGGTTCCTTGTCATGCTGCAGCCATGTCTGTTGTCCTTCTCCTGTGTCTATCCTGGGAATCGGAAGCTTACACATCACTACCCTCCCAGGTGAGTTTTGGCAGGTGGTATGTAGCTGGTCACACTGAATGCTGTGCCAGAAAAAACTCCTCACCACTCCAGAGCTGCCTTTAAGTTGTGTAAGCTGCATCAGCAAGTCACAGTGGCCTTTGGTGTGCTAGTCTTGGGTGGGACAGGCAGAAGGAAGCGGGGTGCCCTGCCATCTTCAGATGCCTGAGAAGGCAGCGCTGACGGAGGCACATGGAGCCAGGTATAAAACAGTAGACACCGAGCGCCGAAACTCACATGCTGTCAGGGTGGAACTGCAAAGGGCTGCGAGGGCAAATGTGGACAGTTGAAGAGCGTGGTGGGCCCATCTAGCGCTAATGAAACATGGAACGTGGTCAGCATTGTCACCCCTCAGGGGCCGAGTATTTGAAAACAACAGTTTCCCACCTTAAACATCACAGACATCTGCAAGAATGAGGAACTGAGGAATGAGCTGGTTAACCAAAAGGACTACTTCGCATTTTAGTTACTGGTTGCAGCAAGGGCTGTGACCTGCCAGTCAGCTGGGCCTGGTCCCCAGCCCCTGTTCTTGTTCGAGCAGTATAAGCTAGAGTAGCCAGCATTTGCCATAGTTCCTATAGTACTCTCTCTCTCGCTGTGTGGGTTATGTTGCTCTGATTGTAGACATTCAAGGGGAAAATCAACACTCACTGGTCTTCCTTTTATGATGGGTTAAAACAGACATATAAAACTCATTATGTCCCCTGATTTGATTTTCCAAATTCCATGAGAAAGGAAAGTGAAAATATGGAATTTAAAAGCTGCATTTTGCTTCTGTGACTTGGCTAACCTGCCACCATGCTCTGAGCTTCCTACGTGATGTCCACTTCACTCGGGTCAGACAGAGAAAAGGGTGAGATGTCCCCCACACAGGGCAGGGAACCGCTTCCAGGGCAGGCCACTCTGAAAAGCAACCATTCCCAGGAGGGGTGGGAGGCTCTTGCCTGTAGCTCTGGCTTACAGGTTTGGGGCCAGCCCTGGACAGCTGCACCCTGGGCTACCTCAGAAGTCACCCATAGACTGGAATCAGTGGCTGGGCCAGGAAGCCACTTTTCATCTTTCCCTCTACTGTACTGACCTGATGAACACGTGATTCTCCAGTCATTTGGAAAGCGTTAATGGCCTTTCCTAGCCTCTCAGTATTGTTAAGGGTTCCTACTACATCTGCTTTCTCTAAGAGGCAGGGGAGCTTTGTGCCTCGTTGTTGTGAGAATCCCTCGATGGAGATGGAGGATGGAGGCTCCAGCGTCTCTGCATGCAGTAGATGGCCCAGATGGCTCTGACCCAGACACCTCCCTGTAGCAAGCAAGACCTTGGACACTAGTCATTTTCACTCACTTCTCTAGGATAGCTGTCCAACAAATGCCATGACCTTTGTCCCCTCTGCTGGCAATTCCTGTAAAGCAGCCAAGAGTGGAAGCTTTCTTTGCCCGGAGTGAGGCAAATTGATTGATAACTGTGGGAGGCAGGCGGGGGGGTGTCTAAGCCATCTGTCATTGCAGCATCCTTTTGTGGACAATGGCACCATGATTTCCAAGTGTCCTTTACCAGCATCCATGGGGGGCTGTAAGGGCTGGGGTGAGATCTGAATGGCATGTTGTATATGTGGAAATTTGTGATGTTCACTTTTATCAGAACTAAATCCGGATTCTGGGGCTGGAGGACAGATAAAGCAGAAGTTGTTAATGGTTACGAAGCAAAGGTAAAAGGAAACTTAAAATAAGATTTCATATAGCTTTTTAGCTGCTATGCAAATGAGGAGTCTGTTCTGATTGTTTCCGTGCATCTGTGCCAGAATGATGGTCCCAGGGGAGTGTGTCCTAATGTGTCTCCTACTTGATGGTTAATCTTACTGATTTTCCAAAAACGGGCATGCCCCGAGCAGGTCCGTAGCTTCCCTAAAGGGAAACGGCTGTTGAGAAATGAGAGACCGTTCCTTTGATTCTATTTCATTAAATTTAATCAGTGTATCTTTTGACATCATATAGTAAGTAGCTTCTTTGACTCATTATTACTTAAGTTTTAGTTACTTTCTGGTTCTAAGCCTCAGTTTTAAAGATTCATTCCAGCCACTTATATGCCCAGAAGCACAGCTGTAAAGATGATACAGTGCTACATCTGGCCTGTTGCATCAGCTGATAAGCTCTTTGCTGGCCTTTCCTCAGTGTACAGCAAGGGTAGAGGGAGCCAGGTACTGTAAGATCTTCTGCTGGCCTCTGAGGGAGCAAAAGCTCCCTCATGCTCAGCGAGATGCATTTAGAAACAACTGCTGTGGTTCAGAATGTATTTTCAGCAGCTGTCAGCACACAGCAAATCTAGACCCCTCAGACAGCCCAGACAGCCCTGACAGCACAGTGCTCCCTCAGACAGTGTGTTGTCCTTTCTGGCAGCCTTGTGCTCCCTCTGGCCATTAGAATCTTTTTTCTTTTGTCAGTAGAAAGGGTGCTGGTTTTCTGTGGTCTCCCAGGTCTAGAGAACCTGGTCTGGCTAAGTCAGCACTGGTAGAGGAGCACCATAGACCATAGGAGACAGGGTTAGGAGCAAGAGGAGCCCAGTGGACATCCTATTTGCAGGACACCTGCTGAGCACCGTCGGCAGGAAGAAGCACAGTAACTGCACGTGCATTCCCAGACAGGGGCTGTCTCTATCTGGAGGGGACTCGGGACTGCTGGCCAGTGTCACTTTTATTTGGCTGGATTTGCTTGATTTTTGTGTCAGCATTCTTAGTCTTGCTGTGCTTGTGCTGGCTTTTGATTCCCTGTGTCACTGTTGTCTTTTGCACAATCTCTCAAGGTTTACACAGTCAACAATGTGAGTGTGATAACCAAAATACGCACAGAGCACCTGACAGAGGAGGAAAAGAAGAGATATAAAGGTAACCACCACAACCCCTGCCTCCTTTCCTCACCGCGTGACTGACTGACTGACTGATCGTGTAGACCAGTGCTTCTCAACCTTCCTAATGCTGCAGCCCTTTAATACAGTTCCTCATGTTGTGGTGACCCCAACCATAAAATCATTTTGTTGCCACTTCATGACTGTAATTTTGCTACTGTTATGAATATGTGTTTCTGATGGTCTTACGTGATCCCTATGAAAGAGTCATTTGACTCCCCTACCCCCTGAAAAGGGTAATGACCCACAGGTTGAGAACCACTGGTGGAGACAGTGCTATTTAGCTTGAGGCAAACGTGTTTGGACGTGCAAATCTTAACTTTTCTTTGTAAAAATGTCCTTAGTTTGACTCACTGTTGGAGTTTTCCATGTTTAGCTTCTATTGTAATTAAAGCCATTCATGAGGGCTTAGTGATGTTATTGCAATAGCTGCTAGATTTTGCTGCAGCAGCTACAACAATGGAGAGTGAGAAGAAATGGAGAGTATTACCACTGGGATGAGCAACTTTGCCTCCATTATAGTGATGAGATTTTCATGGAACGTGGGCTTTGGGCGGAATCACCACGGATATGTAGTCACTGTGCCCTGGCTTTGCCAGCTCTGTGGCCCTGTGAAGTTGCCATGCTGAAGGCCTCGTGTCCCTGGGTAGTAAATTGGAGGTAGTGCTGGGCCGTTGCACAGTCACTGAGAGGATGCAACATTTAGAAAGTGCAGGCAGTTACGGTTGGCTACCAGTTACGGCTGCTCCTGGTGGGCAGGCAGTGAGTGGCCGTGGAGGGAAGGAACTCCAGACCAAGCCCCCTCCTGAGCAGGAGCTGCAGCTGCCTGCTGGAGTTCTGGTCTCTGTTTTTCAGCTTCCTACTTGATCTACTGCATGTAACATGGGCTCTGGTGATGGGGCTTACATTTTTTTCTTATAAGGGTCCCTCAGGTTAAGGCTTCTAAAGATAAGATACTTAATGTAAATTCACCTTCAAGGGTGGTCTTATCTCCTGTCTACAGATGGAATGGCTACTGTAGGCAGCTTGGATCAGGAATGGCTGTGAGGGGCTTGATTCTGTTGATCTTTCCTCCTCTAGAGGACCGGAGCCCACTGGAGTCCCTGCTTGGAACTGTGGAACATCAGTTTGGTGCTCAAGGGGTGAGTGGACAACAGGACAGTCAGTGGAGCCAGTGAAAAGACTGGCTTTCTCCTGGTCATGATGGTGGCTACTGGGTCCTGAGTGGGTCACTCGACTTGGAAAGGCTAACAAAACTTCTAAGATGGGCTATGGATATTCTCTATTTTTTTTTTCTTTGAAGATTTATTTATACAGTGTTCTGCCTGCAAAAATACCTATATGCCAGACAAGGGCATCAGATCTCATTATAAATGGTTGTGAGCCACCATGTGGGTGCTGGGAATTGAACTTGGGCCCCTTGGAAGAACAGCCAGTGCTCTTAACCTCTGACCCATCTCTCCAGCCCCCGTACTATAGATGTTCTTTTGGGAGAGAATTAGATGACTGAGTTTTAGAAATCAAGGTTTTGGAGGAAGGGTAGGCCCTAGGATTAGGCTTTTTGGTCTGTGATGAACAAGCCCCTAACCAGCATGTTCTTGACTCCCCAACTAACCATGCATTTGGTACAGTGGAAGTCTCTGAGGGTCAGAAGATGCAGCTTCCATTGCAGTGTTGAAGCTGGAGATGTGAAGGCCAAGTCCTCCAAATGGCATGCTCACTCGCTCATTGGTGTGGTCTGTCTCCTATTCCAGGATGTAGATGGGGAGAGGGCAGACCTAACTGTTAGACGTACTTGCTCCATGCAGCAGCTTCACTTTTAGAGATGCTCCTAGCATGGGCACTGGAAAGTCAAGCAGTCCTGACTCTCCCGGTTCTGACTCGGCAGGACCTCACAACGGAGTGTGCCACTGTGAATAACCCCACAGCCATCACACCTGACGAGTACTTTGATGAAGACTTTGATCTGAAAGACAGGGACATCGGAAGGCCAAAGGAGCTGACGATTAGAACACAAAAGTAAGTGTAAGATGTGGCTGCAGAGTGTTGGGATTGCTCATTCCTGTGCCTTTCCTGTGATACTCATGTTGAAGTTCTTTTTTTTTTTTTTTTTTTTTTTTTTTTTGCTTTTTGAGACAGGGTTTCTCTGTGTAGCCTTGGTTGTCCTAGATTTGCATTGTAGACCAGACTGGCCTTGAACTCACAGAGATCTGCCTGCCTCTGCCTCCCCAGTGCTGGGATTAAAGGATTGCACCACTATGCCTGGCTAATGTTGAAGTTATTAATCTGACAAAAGACAACAGTTAATGGCTCTCTGCTTAGCCTTTGGTGTAGAGAATAGAGATAGAACAATGCTGTGTGTGTGTGTATTATTTACTGCCAGTAAACCCCAGCTGATCAATTAAATGCACTCAGGCTGCAATGCAGGCCTTTCCCTCCACTGTCAGATTTTAGGGGATCTGAGTTTCTCAGGTATTACACTCATTTTTAAACTCTTTTATTTGGGCTTCCTTAAAGCCTCTCCCTTCCAACCCCCCAATGCTAGGTAGGAGAGAGAAGGTTAGTGGGGAGAGGGGCTGCAGTCCCTTTACTTCGCCAGGCTGTTAAGGTCGATGGGTTCCTGAGGGCTATACCAATCTCCATCAACAGCAAATGCAGCCAGCAATCTCCTCCAAGCTGCTGGGCCACACAGCATCTCCAAGCCACACAGCATCTGTCCGTCTCTGGTTTTCTCTCTCCTGGCTCTCATATTTATATTCCTGAGAGTCCTAGACCACGCCCCTCTCCATGCTACACGAGGCAGGCCTTTACCAGCTGGCAAAGACCACGCTCCGCAGGAGGCAATTATCAGCTGTGAACAAACTAAAATCTCACACTTGGGATTGAAACAAAAACATATTTATAAAACATAACTGAGTTTTCTTTTTTTTTTTTTTAAAGATTTATTTTATTTATTTATTTATTACATATATATTACAGTGTTCCGCCTGCACACCAGAAGAGGGCACCAGATCTCATTATAGATGGTTGTGAGCCACCATTTGGTTGCTGGGAATTGAACTCAAGACCCTTGGAAGACCCTTGGCTCTTAACCTCTGACCCATCTCTCTAGCCCCCCATAACTGAGTTTTCAAAGAAACCCAAACTTTCGCTACACCCAGGGTTCTAGTCCCTCACAAGTCCTGAGTTCAGGAATACCAAGGGGGCTGGGGTTTCTGGAGGGTGGTGGGGAGGTGGCTTCAGCCCTCACTCTGTAACCCTGCAGGTTTAAAGCTACTCTGTGGATGTGCGAAGAGTTCCCACTCTCCCTCGGGGAGCAGGTCATTCCCATCATTGACCTCATGGCTCGGACCAGCGCTCATTTTGCAAGATTGAGGGATTTCATCAAACTGGACTTCCCTCCTGGATTTCCTGTAAAAATAGGTACGGTTAAGTAAAACTGAAGGTATCCTGCAGTTTTTGTCTGTCTGTGAGGGTGAGCAGCCTGCTTCAGGGAAATGGAGCATATTAAGGAGAAATTAGCAACAGGGTGTGGTGGTAAACACTTCTGATCCCAGCACTTAGAGGCAGAGGCGGCCAGATCTCTGTGAGTTCGAGGCTAGCCAGGGTTACAAAGAGAGACACCCCCTCTCAAAATAAACAAAACAAAAGAGCAACTTAGCATATGATAAACAGAATGGTAGATTCCAGAATTACCCTCTGGCCTCACTGGATTTGAAGACTTGGCATGATGTTTGGTTTCTTTTGTTATCGAAATTAGAAGGTCTCCAGCCAGTAGCTCTGTTACAGGTAGTGCTAACAGGAATGGCCAGGAGTGGTGGCACACCCCTTTACTCCAGCACCCGTAGACAGAGGCAGGCAGATCTGTGTGTGTTGGAGGTCAGTATGGTCTGGATAGTGAGTTCCAGGCAGGTCAGAGCCACATTATGAGGCCCTTTCTCAAGAAACAAAGCAACCTCCTCCACTCCCAAAAGAATACGAATTCTTGTTTTAATGTCATATCTTTAATGTAAGCAAAACTTCAAATTGGATGCTTTTATTTTCAATTTTTTGGATTTTTTAATATTTTGTTAGTACTTTGATAATTGTGTTTGTGTGTATCTAATCACACTCGTACCCCCATCCTCCCCCAGATAATCACTGAATTAAGGTATTTGACACTGAGATCTTTCGGTGCACAGACATGCTTTTGGTGTTGGACTAGTATGGACGATGCTGTGTTTTGTATTTTCGATGGTTGAATGTTCATGACACTTAACACCCGCACCCCCCCCCCCCCGTTTTGATCACTTCCTTCCTTCACCTGTGTCTTGGTTTTCTGTGGACTGGGGGGTGGGGTGGGGAGGTGGGAGTGCTGTAAGGACTGAAGGAGACCGTGCTGATCAAGCATGCTTTGATAGTGTTAGCAAACCATCACTGTTCTCAGTGAGTCCTGCTAATAAGAACTTTTATTTACCAGAAATCCCCTTATTCCATGTTTTAAACGCACGGATTACATTTGGAAATGTTAATGGCTGTAGCACTGCTGAAGAGAGTCCGAGTGCGGAAGGGACCCAGGCCGATCCAGGTAAAAGCGACTAAACAACTAAGCATTTTGAAATATGGCAAATCTGTAGAAGAGGAAAGCCTAGCTCAGGTGGAAAACAATGCATTGTACTGGTTCGTTCTGTGGCTGGGACAAGAACCAGGAGCTCGGAGGAGGGAGGCTCCACTCTGGCCTGGTGTCAGGCTGCTTGATTGTCCCCAGCAGGGGAGACTCTCCTACTTTACAGTCCACAGTGTTCCTGCCTCACCCTGTTAGCTTTCCACCAAGAAAAATCAGAACAGCGAAACGTGCGCTGGTGAATTTTACTATCATAATTCTTTTAAAGCCTTCCAGGAGCAAATTGATTATTCCTACTTTTGTCATTCATTTCATTTTTTCACATCTTGTTATTTGATCTTACTGGCAGTACTGGGGGCTGAACCATGAGCCCACAAGCCAGGCAAGCTCTCAGTACTCAGTTTCACCCTCAGCCCTGGGGTAGGTACCGCCCTCATGCCTTTTAATTTGAAATGTTTTCAAGCTGAGTGCAGTGACTCCCACCTATGGTGCCCACATGCGGAGGCTGAGGCAGGAGGGTCTTTTGAGTCCATGAGTTTGAGGTCAGCATGAGCAGTGCAGTAAGATCCCCATGTTAGGAAAAACAAACAAACAGGGAAACAACCTCCATGCACTCCCTCAACAAGCACTGTAGTCTGAAGCAGGAGGATTATGTGTTCCTTGGAGCCAGCCTGGTCTGTGTTGTGAGTTTTAGGGCAGCTTAAGTTAAATAGACCCTATCTTAAAACAAAAACAACAGCAACAACAGAAAACTCAAAGAACTGTCTGAATTAATTGTAATGAATGGAGACACTGAACGGTTCCCTCTGTATTTCAGCTTCCGAGGTCACAAACTTCGAGGTTGATCAGTCTGTGTTTGAAATCCCTGAATCTTATCACGTTCAAGACAATGGCAGAAACGTGCACCTGCAAGATGAGGACTATGAAATCATGCAGTTTGCCATCCAGCAGAGCCTGCTGGAGTCCAGCAGGAGCCAGGTGGGCCATCCGCAGAGGGCCAGGCCTGCGGGTCCCCAGGCTGGCCTCAAGAGTCTAGATCAGAGGACTTGCTCTGAGTAATGTGTTTGGAATGTGCAGTGTCTGTGCAGGTCATTTCGCGGAGCTGTCTGTATTTGTCACCCCAGCTGACAGACTGCCTTCACTCAGGTTCACCCGGTAGCAATTGTGTAGTTCTCCAGGTGTCCTCCATAGAGGTGTAGCACTGAAGCATTGGTGTGTGCAGTAGTCTTAGCGAAGGCAGCGGTGTGGACTTTCATCCCAGCTCCCCAAAGAAGACAGTCTTAGGTAACGCATGCTTAGTCAAGGGTGTGATAGAATGGGGGCTCACTCTTGAGTTTTCTCATTCTGAGGAGCCTCCTTAAATACCTTCTGCATTTCGAGCAAAATCAGAATTAAGGAAAGAGCGCGGTGGGGGTAGAAGGGTGGTGGCGGGCCTGGGTGGTGGTGGTTATGCTTATTCCTCAGAGCCCAGCTGCTTGAAGCAGAGGCTTGAGGACACCCTCGCTGTCTCCTGCCGCACTCCCTCCCTCCTCTGGCTTCTGGTGCCATTCCAGGAGATTTGTTTTCCCACTGTCCGGAGCGTGCTCTCTGCTGTCCACTGCTCCCAGCCTGGGCAGGTCTGCTTCAGCATGTGGACAAAGAGAACTGAAACAAGGGATTGTTGGCACTGTTTTTATTCCTTTTCTCCCCTTTTCTCTAAGACAGGATCTCATGTGGCTTAGAATGGACTTATATCCTGGGTTTTTGCTGTCCGTTTATTGGTTATTGGTTTCTTCTTTCCTCCCACTGTCCATCCAGTAGGAATTTGCAGAGCATGCTGGGAATTATTGGGTGACATAGCTCATGCTCTCCTGGGAGCTGTGAGCAGTGTTGCTGCTCATGAAGGCTTTCTGGGCTTTGACTAATTCGCCCTCCCCCTGCCACACACACACCGCCACCACAGACCCATTCCAGATTCATTTGTTGTCCTTTTTCTTTTCATTAATATATGTATGTATGTATGTATGTATGTATGTATGTATGTATGTATGTATGTAT